GAGGATTCAAACCTCTTTGAAAAAACACACACAAGGAGTAGTTGACAATAGAACATAAGAACAGCCATACTGGATCAGACCAAAGGTCCATCTAGCCCAGTATCCTGTCTGCCGACAGTGGCCAGCACCAGATGCCCCAGAGAGGGTGGACCGAAGACAATGATCAAGCGATTTGTCTCCTGCCATCCCTCTACAGCCTCTGACAAACAGAGACCAAGGACACCATTTTATCCCCTGGCTAATAGCCTTTTATGGACCTAACCTCCATGAAATTATCTAGCTTCTCTTTAAACTCTATTATAGTCCTAGCCTTCACAGCCTCCTCTGGCAAGGAGTTCCACAGGTTGACTACATGCTGTGTGAAGAAGAACTTTCTTTTATTAGTTTTAAACCTGTTACCCATTAATTTCATTTGGTGTCCTCTAGTTCTTCTATTTAGGGAACTAATAAATAACTTTTCTTTATTGGCCCTCTCCACACCACTCATGATTTTATATACCTCTATCATATCCCCCCTCAGTCTCCTCTTTTCTAAACTGAAAAGTCCCAGTCGCTGTAACCTCTCCTCACATGGGACCCGTTCCAGACCCCTAATCATTTTAGTTGCCCTTTTCTGAACCCTTTCCAAGGCCAAAATATCTTTTTTGAGGTGCAGAGACCACATCTGTACACAGTATTCAAGATGTGGGCATACCATAGTTTTATACAGGGGCAGTAAGATATTCTGGGTCTTATTTTCTATCCCTTTTTTAATAATAGTTGATGGACAAATTGAGGGCATGTGTCTCGAAGGGCTTCGGAGGGGAGTGTCCTGCATTGGTGATTGTTCTATATTTTCGCTAATGACTTGGACATAGGAACACAGAAGATAGTTATAAAAGCTGCAGTGAAAACTGCTCTGGGAGCTGAAAGAACACGGGGGGAAAGGAGGAGAGTTCAAAATGATGCTGACAGTGGAGAATTGACCTGAAATCCTGTAGGGGTTAATCATGGAAGAACTTTGTACATGCCGAGCATAGGGGTAGTGAGGCACGTATTCCTCCCTTCCCCTATATCTGATGAGCCAGAAGCAAGCCTCCAGAAACATACACTATTTAAGATAAGCCCCCCTTGTGGGCAGGCTGGGGCGAATGTCACTCAGGGATGTCGTCAGGGCAGGGTTGTGTGTAAGACGTGGGCAGCAACTTACCCACTTTACTTGGCCCAGGGGAGGACTCAGCTGGAGCACCGTGTCCTGCTTCCCACCCAGCACTTTAAATGTGGGGAAATGGGAGCGACTCTAACGGGCAGCTGCCGAAACGACAAGCTGGCCTCAAGGACCAGGCTGTGCCAAGGCTGTCCCCCACTCTGGCACTCTGAATTCAGGCAGTGGGGGTCCGCAAGAGAGCTTTAAAAACTCGCCTCTACTGACACTGGTTACAAAAACTTCCCCCAGAATCCTAATACATAGATTTGGGGGAATTTGCTGCCATCATCAAGTGCTTTTTGATCCCTAAAAAAACAGGGGCAAACACTTGAAACCATCCACAGGGGCACCCCAAGCTTGTTCACCCCAAAAGAGCTTGAAAAAAGAAAGAGAAAAACAAGCTGCAGTCTCTAGTGCTTCCCCTCCCCATTTACCATCTAAGCTTTGTGCCGAGACTTTTATCTGCTGTTTTAATTTGTTTCCCTTGGTTGCTCTGTACATCTAGCAACCCAGTCTGCTTTCTCAAGTTAATCTTTCGTTTTGTAATAAAAATCCCTTCTTTTAAGGTGAGGATTTGATTCTTGTTACCTGGCAGGTCTGTCTGTGTCAAAAGATACCATTGAGACTTGGTTGCTACATGTTACAGAGCAACCAAGGAAAACAAACTTAGAAAACAGAGAAAAGTCTCAGCACAAAGCTTAGATGATAGTAAATAGGGAGGGGAGGCATAGATTCACACAGAGTAGTTCAAACCAAACCACAAAAAATATATACACGAAAACTTTTTAAAAAGACAATCTTTCTAAAAGCACACCAAAAGAGTAAAACTAAAGTTTTCAGCTACCCATTTAGGAGAAAGATTGGATGGCTAAGTACGATTCAAGGTAGCTGCTAACTGTTACCCATCCAATCTTTCTCCTAAATGGGTAGCTGAAAACTTTAGTTTTACTCTTCTGGTGCACTTTTAGAAAGAATGTCTTTTTTAAAAGTTTATTTTTATGTGTGGGGGTGTGTGTGTGTGTGTGTGTGTGTGTGTGTGTGTGTGTGTGTGTGTGTGTGTGTGTGTGTGTGTGTGTGTGTTTGGTCTGAAATGTAGTGTGTTTCCATTAAAAAATGAGAGAAAAACGCTGGCTGGATTTGATCCGACAGCATTTTAAAAAAGTGTTCAAAAACAGCACTTGACTTCTCAGGGCAGTCTTGGGGCTGCTCTTCCCCTCCCTGGCTCTTGGGTTACTGTTATGCTCATTCTGGGCTGCTCTCTGCCCAGCTCTGGAGCTACTGCTACCTGAGCTCTAGAGCTGCTGTCACCCAAGTCTGGGCTGTGCCCCAGCTCTGAAGCTATTGTCACAATGGCTCTGCAGCTGCCCAACCCGTTCTGGGGCTCTTTTCCCTCTCTCCCCAGAGCTGCTGTTCCCCCAGCTTCACTCTCCTACACAAAGAAAGCAGGCAGGGAACCTACATCCAATTCAGATTTCAACCCTCTATCTTGATTGGTTCTCCTGGCCCCTTGACCAACACCTTTGCTAGGTATCTGAGTTAACCCCTTAGTCACCAGGTGCTGGTCAGCACTCCTCCTATTCATGACAATCTTAAAGACCTAGGCGGGTGTAGTCTGGAGAAGAGAAGGCAGATGGGGGCATGGTTTCAGTCTTCACACAAGTCACAGGGTGGGTCACAGGGCAGCTGGCCTCTGCGGAGGTCGAGCACCTAGTTTCCCCCACTCTCTTCCCCGCAACAACCTCCACTAAGGAGATGGAGCCAGCCCAGATCCACTGGGCATCATTAATTCCCTAAATGGCTGGGGGCTGCCAATTAGCTAGGTGGCTCCTGGCACTAGGGCAGGGCTGTGGGGCTCAGTCGGACGCACAGATCACAGAGGAAGCTCCTAGCACTGCAGGGCTCAGGGCAGCCGCTCAGGGAGTGCCCCTCAAAAGGCAATCTAGGAGAGGGGTCCGAGAGGGAAGAGGCTCCAAAGGGGGAGCTACGAGTCCCAAGCCCCTGTGAGGGAGCTGCTCCCAGCAGAAATCCCTCCCCAGACAGTGGCAGGTGCTCCCGATCACACAGTAACGCCATGCGGCTCTGGAGAGCAGCTGCCATGGTTTGTGCTCTGGTCTAGTGGGGGGGAGGGAGGGATGGTCCCGGGGGGTGGCTTCCTGCCCTGCTTTTCTGTGTATTTGCATGGGGAGAATGGACACTGTAAGAGATACTGCAAGTCCAGCAGTCCCCCCCTACAGCCCCATTCAGACAGGAACTACCCGGGCTCACATTGCTATCAGCAAGGGCTGTTCCCCTAACACTAATTGCTGGGGGACATGGTGGATTCTCCTCCCCTGGAGCCCTTCGGTCAAGGCTGGACACCTGTCGAACAGACACGCTGGAGCTCACAGAGATTGCGGGCTCAGCACAGAATCACTGCGTGAGGGTCCCTGGCCCGTGTCACACGGCAGCTCACACCAGGGGCTGGGGAAGGTCCCTCCAGGCCTCAGGAGTCTCTGGAGCCAGGAACATCAGTTCCCGGGGACCCGGGTGCGAGGATTCAGGAGAACGGCGGTGAGGGCAGAGACAGAACACACAGGGGCTGGAGAGCGACGGCTCCACCCTGCATGGCCCAGCAGGGGGCGCTGTGCTCAGTGCCATGCAATTCCCTTCCCGCCCAGAGCTCAGATCACCACTGCCGGGGCGCAGCTAGGAGGGGAAATCTGAGCGGGGCCTGACCTTCAGGTGGGGGGGCCATGCTGGGAGGCGCGGGAAGGGGACAGGAGGGAGGAGGGCGGCTCCTTCCCCATTTCCAGATGCTCTTTGCCACTCAACAGGCACGAGAGGAGTGAAAATACAGTGAGTGCTCAGCACCCCCTACTGCCTCCCCGACCATCTGCATCCCTCCCACTCATCGCTCCCCCGCCCTCTGCTCTCAGCTCTTCTGCGGCATGCAGAGGGTGCTGGAGGGGAGGGGATGGCTCATGGGGTGAATATCATAATGTGGGGGGGAGGGCTGAATCTACCCACATCACTTGGTGTTGCCTTGCCTACACTGTGCACACAGAAGGGCCTGAGCTCCCAATCCCTTCCTGCTCTACGTGGCCTAGGCTGCAGCTGATGCCACCAGATGACCTGCCACATGGGCCTTGGGCAGGCAGGTGCCTGCCCAGGAATCAGGATTGGAGGTGCTGAGGCCATGGGAGCTGGCTGATGAGGTGGGATGTTCTGAGCTGTGGCAGAGGAGGGGACGAAAGAGGAGGGGTGAGTCCTCAGGCAGAGGGGGAGGAGCCTGGGGCTAGCCTCCCCCAATAGCCAGTTCACCTGCTGACCCTGAGGAGGAGCAGGAGCACAGAGTCGATGGAGGGAGGAGGGGGGGTACCAGTCCAGGGAAAGGGGAGAAAGGGGGTAGGAATGGAATGTTACAGGCAGGGGCGGAGTCAAAGAGGGGATGAGCCGTAGATTGGAAGGGGCATCATGCACCCCTGGCAACTCAGAAACATGGTGCCCCCCCCACTTGCACGACAGTTCCAATTTGGGGTTTGCCTGGAAGCCAAGCGGAAGCCAACCCACCCAGGCTCACCCATAGCTATGTGCCTGCACCCTAGCAAAGCACCCACAGCCTCAGGCAGCTCATCTCACTGCCAACAACAGGGAAGCAACTCACAGGGGGTTGTCCTTGCCGTGGTTGGCCAGGGAGTCTCCCACATGGATCTGAGCCCCCTTCAGCCTCTCCCAACAGCACTCGTCTTCCCTGTTCTTCACGATCACCATGGAGACGGAATGCCGGCTGCCCAAGTCCACGTTCCACCACGGCTCATTTTCGAGCTTGGTGAGGCTGCAGGAGCCTTGTTTATAATTCCCATCACGGTTTCCGTCCACGGCCCTTCCAGGCTCGGCTTTTCCAGTGTCATCCTTGTGCGTGGACGACTGAGTGGCCGGACGTCCCAGCGCCAAGTTCTGAGCTGGAATCAGAGGGTGAGAGGAGGGGAGGTGGGATATGCCCATTGGCGGGACACAGTATGGGGGGGAGAACGGGATGAGCTCGAGAAGCCCTTTCTCCCGCAACAGAGCCAGAGGTGCTTCCTGGCAGTGACACGCAAACCGGGCACCATGTGAGAGCCAGGTTCACAGTGGGAGCTGGGACCCGGGGAATAGGAGTGAGGGGAGCAGGATGGTGCCGACAGCGAGTTGGTGCCTGGGTCTCAGCCCAGAGAAAACCTCTCTCAGCGCATTATGACCCATACCCCGCTGGCGCTGCTCCCCAAGGCAGGGATGGGGCTGTTCTGCCAGCTGCAGCTCACGCCCAGGGGAGCGGTGGGAAGGGAAGAGTCTCCCAGGGTTTCTGCTGCCTCACTAGGCAGAGACTGGCGCAGAAGGGACTGGGGTATAACTTGAAAGGGAACAAGTTTCTATTCATATTGTGCCAGCTTCTTACCCCATGGGGGCTGGGAGCAGCCCTGAGACAGAACCTCGACCTCACACAGGGTCAGATACTCCGACCTGCCCGGGATGACGATGGTGACATAGCGGCCCTCCAGCCCGTCGCAGCAGATGGTGCTGAGGGATCCGGGTCTGGTGTCGTTAATGGTCCCGCAGCTAAAGGAAAGAGAAGAAGCCAAGGAGACAAAACAAGGTAGATGTGTTCACACCCACAGCGCCTGGTGAGATTCACCCGATAGTACCTAAGGAACGGCTGAATCAAGCTCAGAACTATTCATGTTTTTATAGAGAACTCATAAAGGTCTGGTGAGGTCTGAGAAGACTAGAGAAGGGCAATCATTGCACCCGTCTTCGAAAACGCGGAACAAAAAGGACATGGCAAATTCTAGACCAATCAGCCCAACTTCGATGTTTCAGAAGACACTGGAACAAAATATTGAACAGTTTGAAAGCTCCTGGAGGATAATGTGATATTTCATAGCTAATGTAGACTTGTGAGGAACAAATCATGCAATACTTCTAGAATTACTTAGATGGGTGCACAACTGTTTTAAAAGAATGGGATGTAGGGAGTAGTTATCAACCAGCATTCAGTAACTAATGGGTTACACCCAGAACAGTGGTATCCAGGAAGTGTTGGCAGGGAACCAGGACAGCCAATGGAAAGAAAGTGTGAGATCTGAATTGAAAGCAGGCGTGTGTCTGCTGCAGTTCTTTATGGTGGTTTTAAAGAGAAAAAGCTGAGTAAAGATGAAGTAAACCTTTGGAGATATGGAATGTCCAGTAATATTCCTGTCTACAAAGGATGGAACCTGAGAACAAGAATCACAGAATCATAGCACACTAGAACTGGAAGAGCCCACGAGAAGTCACCAAGTCCAGTCCCCTACATTTATGGCAGGACAAATCACCATCTACATCCGTGTTTCTCAAACTGTGGGTTCCGACGCCCCGGGGGGTTGCGTGCAACTTAGAGGGGGGGTCGCAGTATCACAAAGTTTGAGAATCCCTGATCTACATCATCCCTGATAGATGTCTCTCAAACCTGTTCTGAAATCTCTCCAGAGATGGAGATTCCCCAATCCCCCCTAAGCAACTTATTCCAGTGTTTCACCACCCTGACAGGTAGGAAGTTTTTCCTAATATCTAACCTAAGCCTCCCCTGCTTCAATTTAAGCCCATTGTTTCTTTTACTATTATCAGAAGCTACAGAGAACAATTTTTCTCCCTCCTTCTTGGGACACCCTTTTAGATACTTGAAAACCGCTCTCATGTCCCCTCTCAGTCTTCTCCTTCCAAACTAAACAAGCCCAATTCTTTCAGCCTTCCTTCATAGGTCAAGTTCTCTAGACCTTTAATCATTCTTGTTGCTCTTCTCTGGACCTTCTCCAATTTGTCCACATCTTTCTTGAAATGTGGTGCCCAGAACTGGACATAAGACTCCAACTGAGGCCTAATCAGCGCAGAGTAGAGCGGAAGAATGACTTCTTGGGTTTTGCTTACAACACACCTGTAATGCATCCCAAAATCAGGTTTGCTTTTTTTTATAAAAGTGTCATACCCCTGCCAGCTTGATATAATCTAAAAACGTAATAAGCATACTCTCTATGTCAATATCTATATCGTTGATGAAGATATTGAATAGAACCAGTCCCAAAACAGACGCCTCTGGAACCCCACTTGTTATGCCCTTCCAGCATGAATGTGAACCATTAATAACTATTCTCTGAGAACAGTTATACTGCCTGTTATTCACCCACCTTATAGTAGCCCCATCTAAGTTGTATTTGCCTAGTTTATTGATAAGAAGGTTATGTGAGACCATATCAAATGCCTTACTAAAGTCTAGGTATACCATGTCCATCGCTTTTCCCTTATCTACAAGACTTGTTATCCTATTAAAGAAAGCTACCAGATTGGTTTGACGTGATTTGTTCTTTATAAATCCATGTTGGCTGTTACATATTACCTTATTTTCTTCTAGATATTTGCAGATGAATTCCTTAATTACTTGCTCCATTATCATCAACTGACTGGTCTATAGTTTCCTGGGTTGTTCTTATTTCCCACTTTACAGACAGGCACTAGATTTGACCTTTCCCTGTCTTCTGGAACCTCTCCCAACTTCCATGATTTTTTAAAGATGATAGCTAGAGGCTCAGATACCTCCTCTATCAGCTCCTTGAGTATTCTAGGATACATTTCATCAGGTCCTGGTGACATGCAGACATCTGACTTTTCTAAGTGACTTTTACCTTGTTTATTTTATTTTATTTTATCTTCTAAACTGTTCCCCTTCCCACTAGCATTCACCATGTTAGGCAATCCTTCATCATCAGACTTCTTGGTAAAGACTGAAACAAAGAAGTCTTTAAACACCTCTGCCATTTCCAAGTTTCCTGTTATTGTTTCTCCTTCCTCACTGAGCAGTGAGCCTACTCTGTCCTTGGTCTTCCTCTTGCTTCTAATATATTTATAGAATACCTTCTTTTTACCCTTCATGTCTCTAACTAATTTGAGCTTGTTTTATGCCTTTGTCTTTCTAATCTTGCCCCTGCATACCTGTATTGTTTGTTTATATTCATCCTTTGTAATTTGACCTAATTTCCACTTTTTATATGACCCCTTTTTTATTTTTAGATCATGCAAGATCTCCTGGTTAAGCCAAGGTGTTTTTTGTCGTACTTTCTATCTTTCCTACACAGTGGAATAGTTTGCTCTTGGGCCTTTAATAATGTCCCTTTGAAAATCTGCCAACTCTTTTCAGTTGTTCCTCCTCTTTGTCTTGCTTCCCATGGGACCTTACCTACCAGCTCTTTAAGTTTACTGGAATCTGCCTTTCTGAAATCATTTGTCTCTATTTTGCTGTTCTCCCTTCTACCATATCTTAGAATCATGAACCCTATGATTTCATGATCACTTTCACCCAAGCTGCCTTCCACTTTCAAATTTTCAAGCAGTTCCTCCCTATTTGTTAAAATCAAATCTAGAACAGCATCCCCCCCTCCCCCTCCTAGTAGTTTTCTTAACCCGCTGGAATAAAAAAAGTGTCTTCTCTGCAATCCAAGAATTTGTTGGATAATCTGTGCTCTGCTGTGTTAGTTTTCCAGCATAGGTCTGGATAGTTGAAATCCCCCATCACCACCAAATCCTGCGCTTTGGATGATTTTGTTAGTTTTTTTTTTTAAGCCTCATTCACCTCTTCTGCCTGGGTAGGAGGTCTGTAGTAGCCCCCTAGCATGTGTGACAGAGCAGGGGTGATACAGCAGGGGAAAGAGCTTGATGGAAACTTGGAAATGGCGGAGATGCTCAATGACTTCTTTGTTTCGGTCTTCACCGAGAAGTCTGGAGGTGTGCCTAACGCAGTGAATACAAGCAGAGAGAGGGTAAGTTTAGAAGATAGGATACACAAAGAACAAGTTAAAAATCACTTAGGAAAGTTAGATGTCAGCAAGTCACCAGGTCCTGATGAAATGCATCCCAGGATACTCAAGGAGCTGATAGAGGAGGTATCTGAGCCTTTAGCTATGATCTTTGAAAAATCATGGCAGACAGGGGAGATTCCAGAAGACTGGAAAAGGGCAAATATTGTACCCATCTATAAAAAGGGGAATAAGAACAACCCAGGAAACTACAGACCAGTCAGTTTAACGTCTGTCCCAGGGAAGATAATGGAGCAGGTAATTAAGGAAATCATATGCAAACACTTGGAAGGTAATAAAGTGATAGGGAATAGCCAGCATGGGTTTATGAAGAACAAGTCATGCCAAACTAATCAGATAGCTTTCTTTGATAGGATAACGAGCCTTGTGGATAAGGGAGAAGCGGTGGATGTCATATACCTAGACTTTAGTAAGGCATTTGATACGGTCTCGCATGATATTCTTATTGATAAACTAGGCAAATATAACTTAGATAGGGCCACGATAAGGTGGGTGCATAATTGGCTGGATAACCGTAGTCAGAGAGTTGTTGTTAACGGTGCTAAATCCTGCTGGAAAGGGATAACAAGTGGAGTTCCTCAAGGGTCTGTTTTGGGACCCATACTGTTCAATATCTTCATCAATGATGTAGATATTGGGATAGAGAGTACGCTTATTAAGTTTGCAGATGATACCAAACTGGGTGGGGTTGCAACTTCTTTGGAGGATAGGGACATAATTCAAAATGACCTTAGCAAGTTAGAGAAATGGTCAGAGGTAAACAGGATGAGGTTTAATAAAGAGAAATGCAAAGTGCTCCACTTAGGAAGGAACAATCAGTTCCATACATACAAGATGGGAAGCGACTGTCTAGGAAGGAGCATGGCGGAAAGGGATCTAGGGGTCATAGTGGACCACAAGTTGAATATGAGTCAACAGTGTGATGCTGTTGCAAAAAAAGCAAATATGATTCTAGGTTGTATCAACAGGTGTGTTGTAAGCAAAACTCGTGAAGTCATTCTGCCGCTCTACTCTGCACTAGTTAGGCCTCAGCTGGAGTACTGTGTCCAGTTCTGGGCGCCACATTTCAAGAAAGATGTGGAGAAATTGGAAAGGGTACAGAGAAGAGCAACAAGAATGATTAAAGGTCTAGAGAACATGACCTATGAAGCCAGGCTTCATGAACTGGGCTTGTTTAGTTTGGAAAAAAGAAGATTAAGGGGGGACATGATAGCGGTTTTCAAATATCTAAAAGGGTGTCACAAGGAGGAAGGAGAAAATTTGTTCCTCTTGGTTTCTGAGGACAGGACAAGGAGTAATGGGCTTAAAGTGCAGCAGGGGAGGTTTAGATTGGACATTAGGAAAAAATTCCTAACTGTCAGGGTGGTCAAATATTGGAATAAATTGCCAAGGGAGGTGGTGGAATCTCCCTCTCTGGAGATATTTAAGAACAGGTTAGATAGACATCTGTCAGGGATGGTGTAGACAGAGCTTGATCCTGCCTTGAGGGCGGGGGGCTGGACTCGATGACCTCTCGAGGTCCCTTCCAGTCCTATGATTCTATATCTCTATGATTTTCCGGAAATGCTTTTAACGGAAAAGTTTTCCGTTAAAAGCATTTTCGGAGTTGGAGGAGTAACGGTAGTTCGAATTAGGATCTTTAATTCAAACTACCTACTGCATGCCGTGTGTATCTGCGGGCACGGAATTCGGACTAAAGGGGATTTAAAAATG